ATATTATATATATATTATCCATTGTTTTGAGGATATGTTTTCCTTGCAAACTATGATGCCTGGGAAGAAAGCAAGCCATACCCAAACTTCACAGTTGAAATTTAGGGAATCTTGACTCATTTGGGGTAGAGGACTAAACAGTCACACAGATGAGCAGGATTGTGATCAGTGGTATTTGATTAGGCAGAACTCTGAAAGCATATGCAACATTTGGAACTGACAGTGCGTAATACAGGAAAATAATCAAATGTTTTGTTTTTCCTGTTCTAGGGTATTTTTGTGGCCTGCATGACAGCCATCCTGAGGCAGATGGATGATTTCCATTACAACCATTACATCAATACTTTCAAAACCAGGCAGGACATTATTGTAAGTCAGCTTGGCTGGGGGATTAGTTCAGTCCATAAAGAATTACACTCTGCTTCAGGTCATTTCACATTACTGTATTCCATTTGGAGTGACTGTGCTGCATTCATCAGCAATGACTTACGGGCACCTAATGCCACAGCCACTGGGGATACATTCACACCACCCCTGCTGTTGTGTACAGAGTGGATGTTGCTGACTCAGTAGACCCCAAGAATTGCATTTGTAGCATTGAGTGAAAACATGTTTAATGACTGTTTAAGTCCATGCAAATAAAAAGTCAGGAACCAGAAGAGTGAATGAAGATTAAAAGGAAAAGCATTTTCTCCTCTTTTGCTCTTGCTCCGTCACTTTGTGATCCTGTTCTCTTTATCTACTTCTTTCTAATTCTTTTCCCTCCTCTAGAGTTTAGTTAAATGCTTTAGTCTTGCTTTAGTGGGCAGCAATGCAAATACATCCCTCCATGTTAAAAACTGTGTAGAATTCACATCCTCAAAGACTTTCAGTATGAAACCAGGTGAAACAGTATGTTGTGGGTTTGTTTGGTTTTTGGTTATTTTTTTTCTGAGGCACTTAGAGTTACAGCTCTGTCCATATTTTTCACCAAACTGCTCAGAACAAGTCAAAACCAAAACCAGTATTTATGCAAGTCTCTGAAGCATGACACAGCAGCTGTTCTGGCTTTTTTTTGTCCCCATACTCCTTGTTTTGCAACTTAGAAGTGTTTACTTATTTAAATACTGTCTAGGGGAGAGCCTGCAGTTGTGTTCTTGTAAGAGCTAGATCAAAAACCACAAAAAGGTGTTTGTAATCAATTTTGGATGGCCAGGTGATATCTCTTTTGCTGTGCAGTTGGAATTGCTTGCAATCTCTTGAGCAACATAGCCACCTACAGGACACACACATTTCTGTCACTTCTGCATCTGCAAGGCTGTGTTGTCTATAGAGAGCACTCATCATCCAGTTTTAGAATTGTTTTTTATATTACCCAAATAATTTTTTTGTAAGGAAGCAAAACCAGAATCAAGTAGGTTCAGGAATTCTACTAGTGTTCATCAAGTAAATGAGTGAAAAGGTTTTCAGCAGGGTTGTGTAGAAATACTGTGTATGAGGAAGAAGGGTGCGAGGAAGAGAAATCTGATGGATGTCAGGAAAAGGTGGGTTCAAGGCAGAATGGAAACAAATTTTGAATGTGCCTCAATTCAGTATTGTTTTTTCTTTTCCTGAAGAGCAGTTGAGGTAGTAGGAGACCATTGTAACTTAACTTCAAGGTAGGGTTAAACAGGTGCTTAAAAGCTTTCCTGAAATGTAAACTTCAGATTGAAGCTCAGCTTTCAAGTGGAAGATGTCTTGTTTTACCATATAGTTCTGCATCTTCTGACTCAAATAGAATATCTCTTGTGTTTCTGTGTGTATATGTAAAGCTTCTACATGAAGGCATATCAAGAGAGTAAATTATGTAATCATTAAAACTACCCATGTATCATTTAAACAGATACTAATCAAAAATAACCATATTTTAATCTAATTTTTACAAATCCTTAGCTCTACAGAAGCAAGCCCAGGTTTGTGGTGGTGTCGTAGTTCTTAATACCGACAGAACACTGCATTTTGTTTTACTGCAATAGTTGTTTTTAGGTTTTTTTATTGTTAGTTTTTTATTTATTTAGGTATTTTCAGCCCTGGCATTGCATCATTACTTGGTTGGCTTGACACTGCTATAAGTTAATTCATATCTTCAAGGTGCCCTGTGTCAAGTCCAAACCTTTCCATCAAGCTCTGATTTAATAATGCCTAAAGGTTTTCTACTGAGGCAGCAGCAAATGCCCATTTCTTTCCCTGCATCGATGTTGCTTGCCAATTCTTCAGAGCAAGCTGTTCAGCAAAACACTTTGGTGGGTTTTTTTCTTTTGCTGGTGATCTTTGCAAGGTGGCAGTTTCTCATGTGACCTTCTTTGTGTCCCTCTCACTTTTGAATGCTAATGTGCTGTCTTTATGGAGAATAGAATCCATTGACATGCTTGTAGGTAGCATTTATATCTGCAGAGACCACAATATAGAGATAAACATTCTTTACCTCATTTTGCTCATCACTCTTCTTTTTTTTTCTCCTTTTCTTTTTTTTTTTATTCTGCAATTCCACCTTGCTTTACCTAAGACTTAAGGTGTGACATAGCTTTGTTTGGAGCAGTTTAGTGTTTGTGCAATAAGTATCTTTCCTACAATAATATTCTAAACCATGTGTCTGATGCCATGTCCAGTATCTCTGTTTAACTATCCTTCTTAAACTGGACCAGAAGCGACTTAACTAATTTAGGAAGTGAAAATACATTATAATTTCCATCTTTACAGAAGATACTGCATAGAGCTGTTACACTGTGATCATTCAGATATTTACAAACAAATCCTTGAATATTGGTTTTGCTTTTTAATCCAGCTCGTGCACCAGAACTCCCTACAACACAGCTTAATTCAAAACAGTAAAGACAGATTTAATTAAACAGATCAACATGTTCTGTGGAATTATTTCTCCTTCTGTAACTGAATGGATGAGATGTCAGAAATAATTTAGTTATTGGAATATACTCACACAATAAGAGATCCTTCTTAGGAGGTACAGTGTATTGATTGCTAATCAATGCAGTCATTAATCAATGCAGTTGCAAACATTTGCATTTCCCTATATTTTGATGCAGATGAAAGACTACCATATTCAACCTCATGGGCTGTGGTTTTCATTTTTCCAACAGGACTTCCTGATGGAAACATTCATTATGTTTAAGGATCTGATTGGAAAAAATGTCTATGCACCTGACTGGATGGTCATGAATATGATGCAGAGCAGGTATATAGCTGCTGCTATTTTTAAGTCTTGTTGCTGTTTCAGAGCCTTTCTAGTTCTGAAAGGAAGGTGACTCACACAAGCAGGCTTGCAAATCACTGGAGTTACATAGGCTTATTTTCTTCTACAGTTTCAGAGTGATTTAAATAAAATTTCAGTAAATTGTAGTGCCTACACAATTCTGTTGACAGAACTGGAAATCTTTCTTCTCTTGCCCAAAGGTACACAATCAAAACCTTGCCATCTTTCATTCAGTCACTTACCTGCTGGAGAGTGCAACATAAATCAGAGAAGTCTTTTTGGTTTCAGTTCTGGGGGAATCACATGGCAAACATAAAGCTACTGTTGGACATAAGTGGGGTCTAGGGTTTAGCAAGCCAGCCTGTAAACTAGAACTACCCAGGTTCACTTCTGTCCTCTGCTATGGACTTTGTTTGGCTTTGTGGGAGTCAGTCTGTCCTGCCAAGTCTGTAAAATTTGAATGATTTTGGCTTGCTATCTGTCTGTTTTGCTAAGTAGCAAAGCATGGCCAGAACCTGGTATCCACAACACAGCAGGTCCTGTACGCCTGTGAGTTCAGTGTTCCCACAGGTGTTATCAACAGAACTGGGGACAGAATGAAGAAACCACAAGCATGTAACTTCTGCTTGCGTGGCAGAGTCATGCAAGTCACCTTCAAAATGGACAGTGTAGCTTCACTCTGTTTGAGGGGTGCAGTGTGGAGGAGGAGATGAAAGAGGCAAGTTACTTTAATGCTTCCCTGGTGAGGGTAGGCTAAACTTCGGAGAAGCTGCTATCTAGAATGACACTGCACTGTCAAAGAGATTGGATGACCCCAAAATGTTTTTCATCTGTCTCCAGTCAAGATTTCTTTTGCTTAGAAACAGAGGAAAAACTTTCCCTGAATGTCACTCTACTGGGAAAGAAGTGAAATTGCGTTACAAAGGAATACCTGTCTTGTTTGGGAGCATCTGTTCTTGTTTCCTGACTTTACATATAGGAGTTGTAAACCCAGAACTGCAATGTTTTTTTCAAGAGCCACCTTTTATTTGGTGTTTTTATCTCTTCCAGGGTTTTCCTCCGGGCGGTGAACCAATTTAGCTCTGTACTCAACCGTTTCTTTCTGGATCAAGCAAATTTTGAACTCCAGGTAACAGTTCCATTGCTTCTGGATTTTTTTTGTGGACCTCAGTCCTGAAAGACAGGAAGAACAAACAAATCCCATTGCTAACAGATTTGTTGATATGGAGCATGGCTGTGGAAAATGTCCATATTCTTTTATAGAAAGGCAGCAGAGTGCAAAGCAGTTCTGAACTGCAGAACTGTGGTTAGTGCAGCAGTGAGTTGCAAGCAAATAGCACTGCTGCAGGCTTTACAAGGCCAGGTTGAGCAGCGTGCTGACTACAGCTGATTTGTGCTTGACTAGTTGGGAACAAAATGCTGTCTGGGTGTATCCACTGCCACTTCCTTTAGTTGGAAAGTACAAGCTAAAAAGAGTGAGAAATTTTAAGTTGCTGTATGCTTCTGGCTTGCCAGCCCTGGCTGAGAACACAGACTCATCTGCCAGCTCACTGGTGCTACTCTTCCTCGTTAACACTTACCTGGGAGACTACAGCATTTGGGGCTGTGTAGCTCAGTTGTGCTGGTTGTTGCTTTTCTTTTGTCTTCTTTTATTTTAGACTTGTTTCTCTTCCACAGCTCTGGAATAACTATTTCCATTTGGCAGTGGCCTTTCTCACTCATGAATCCCTCCAGCTGGAGACCTTCTCACAAGCCAAACGTAACAAAATTATCAAGAAGTGAGTTTACACTTAAAAAGTTGCCAGGTCTTTTTGCTTTTAAGAAACTTCATTTGTATTGTTCCAGACATACTTCTTACAATCTTAGAATGAGATGAAACATGCCATGGAAGTGCTTGATTAATGAATGATGATAAAGGGAGGAAGGATGACTAGGACAGACGTCAGGTCTTTACATTGTGGATGTCTTAAGTCTGGTCAGACAGATCCAGAAGTTAAGCACCTTGCCAAATATTCTTGCCACTGTAAGGTCTGTAACAGGCTTGCCACAGTTCCCAGAGCAGCACCTTACACAGCTCTTCAGCCATTGTGTAGGGTAGGTAAGCAAGAATCCTAAAAGCCCTGCAACTTTTTAGTCCCCTCTTTGCTTTTTCTGTTTTGAAAGCCAGAGCACTTCAGAGACATTCATCAACCCAAAAGTAGTAATTTTTAGGAACTTGGCAAAATTCACAAAGACACTGAACAGCTTTTACTTCTGCATTTAGCTGGAGTCAAGTGCCTAAATATCTTTGTAGATCTTGATTTTGTTAGGGCATGCATAGTTAGTTTGCCATCTTTTTTTCAGCAATAATGAGGACTTTAACGAGCCTGGTAGTTAAATGTTCTTCCATTCTCTTAATGTCAACAGTTAAAGCTTTAGGGAAAAACACCAAATACAACAGAATTTTGGTAGAATTGCATGAAGCAGCAGGACTGCAGCTTCACTCTGCAGTCAGGGAGTCTGCAGTCTCCTGCCATAATGGCATGTGGCCATTCTCTTCCTCTATGCATTGAGCATTGTTGCTGGGCAGGGTAAGGAAGAAAAAAGATGAGGTGAACATCTAACAATAGGTATGTAATACTGAGGAACTTCTTGGACCCTTAGTGGGGAAGACAGCCTGTGAGACCCTTTGGTATAAGTGCCCAGCATATTCAGGTTTATGTGTGGTAGGTTTTTTTTAAGGAGAGGGTAATGGGTTTTGTGGCTTTGCCATTAAATTTCGTCATCAACTTGCAAAGGTAATTGCAACGTATAGACCTTTTCCATCTTTTTCTTTCTAGGTATGGGGACATGAGGAAAGAAATTGGCTTCAAAATAAGGGATATGTGGTATAATCTGGGTGAGTTCCAGCTAAAGAATTATCTTTATTCCAACTCTCAAGCTGGGTTTCAAATGCCTTATTTCTTTATAAAAACTGCTCATGTTTAATGTGGGGAAACACACTTAAGGTTCATCTGTTTCAGGACACAAAATCTCTTTTCCTTTTTCTGTGAATAGCTTGCAAAAGCTGATCTTTTCTCATGTCAGCTGCTGGGATACTTTCTTAGATTCTTTATAAAGGATGTTTTACCGTATGAAGGATGAGCAGAATTTTCCAGAGAGCCTTTGTGATTTGCAACATGCATGCAATTCATTTCAATTATTTTCTTGGACTATTCATGAATTTTGGAACTGTACCATGTGAATTCTACCTTAAGTATCCATTATCCACATAGAATATGCATTCTAAGCAGAATGTCTGTGTTTTAGGGATTTTACTTTTTATGAATAACGTGTTTAAATATTTGGATATCCAAATCCTGCCTTCAAACAGCCATGTTCCATTAGGATGTATCTGACTTTGACTTTCTTGCAGGACCCCACAAAATAAAATTCATTCCAGCAATGGTAGGCCCAATCCTGGAGGTCACCCTGGTTCCAGAGCCTGAGCTACGGAAAGCTACCATTCCCATCTTCTTTGATATGATGCAGTGTGAGTTTAACTTCAGTGGGAACAGAAACTTCCATATGGTAAGAGAGCCTGGTATCTTCAGTGCAGATGTTCCACAGTATGCATTGGGCAAGTAGGAGAAGGGAACGTTTAAACAAAAACAAAACAAATTAACCCCCCCCGCCCCCCAAAGCAAGCGTTATGCCAAACACTTTGGGAACGTATTGTTAAGTTTTTTGTAGTAGTAAGAACACTTCAGTTCTTTCTCTGACTGTACCTTTGCATGACTTTGACAATTAATGAGCTCCTCTGTTTTCATATCTTTCTGCATTTGCAGATGTGTGAATACCCACATCTCAATTGTGAAGCAGTTTGGAGACTCTAAGAGGGTACTCTACAAAGTACTGCCTAGTTAAGTTTATAATATAAATTCCTCCAAGGTGAATTTTTGGCTGTATATGTAAGTTACCATGAAGAAAATTGCTGGACAGTCAAGTGTTGGGATTATATAGCTGTTTACATACTGACTAATCCCTCGTTAACTTCAAACTTGACAACACATTTGTAAATACTGATGCCACCATTATGGAAAGGAGAACAGTGATACAAAGGACAGACATGATTTGCTTGAGGCTAGACAAGTAAAAGGGCAGAGCAGGGAACAGGACCCAGATCCCTGAGTTGCAGCCCTGTGCTAATTTCTCCAGAGGTTACCTTTTATTGCTACTGAGAAAGCACTGGAAGGTAAGGAAGGAAAAAGGATCTTTGCTTTTGCCCTGAGGTGAAGTTTTCACTGTGTTTTCTAAGGACTTATTCTTCCAGCCTTCCTCTGGGAATATCAGGCACTAACATCTCAACTGGCAGGCAGGGGACACTGTGGGTACACTGTAGAGAGTCTTCTCCCTGGAGATAGGCAGGAGCCATCCATCCAAAAGGCAGCCACCTTGGCACTTCAGACTGTTGTCAAATGTGATGTGCATCTCCCTAAGCACCATCCTCACACCAGCTTAGACCCCAGATTCAGTGTGCATACAGGATCTCTCTTCCCTTGGGGTCATCAGTCTTTGATGCTGTTAGCTCCAGGGTCTCAGGGTTTTTTGGAATCAGTGGGAGGGAACAGGGTGTGTGTGGTGTGGATTTTCCATTCCAGTGGTATTTATATGCTAGATACGGTTGTAACTGAGTCTTACGTACTTGACCTGCTTGCATGTGACAGGGCATATCCTCATGGCTAGGCAGTCACATAGGACTTGGTTCCTGCAGCATGAGAAGAGGCTTTAATTAGTAGTCACAAGTGATTGTGATCAGCAGAGAGTCATGACTTGCCCTTAACTGATGCTAATAGTTCAGTTTCTTCAGGGTGAATGAATGACCACTATCAAATGTAACCTGGCTGCTAAGATGCTTCTCCATCCTAGCAAAACTGAACTGGTAATGGATGGGGGAGAAGGGAAAGCATTACCACAGAGCATGACTTTCCAGTGACTGTAAGATGAGAGAGGGAGGCCTTGTATTTCCTTGCTCCAGTCTTCTTATCTTGGCTTCTTACCATTTTTATTCTGCTCCAACAATGAAAGCATCCTTGTGAAGCCAGCATCTGATGGTGAGGCAGTTCAGAAACATCAGCCACCAGGATTAGTAATGTTCAGACCACGCTGTTCAGAGCTGCTATCTATTTCATTGTGCTTTTTTTTGCCTTTTCAGTTTGAAAATGAGTTGATCACCAAGCTGGACCAGGAAGTGGAGGGTGGCCGAGGGGATGAACAGTACAAGATTTTGCTGGAGAAACTGTAAGTTTTATAAAGAACATGGAGGCTCTTTTTTACAGCTTAAATGGCTATTTTTCTAAAACAAAGAAACCCTAATTCATTACTCCAGTGAATAGGGAAACAGAGCAGTTGACAGTGATCTCAATGCTATGTGGATATTCTGAGACTGATTGCCTTAAAATGATTATTTTATTCTGGAGCAGCAACTTGCACTACTACCCTGAACTTGGAGATGAAAGCCTAGAGGCAGGTGCCAAACTGGCAAGGGGGTTGTAAGTAAAAAGCTTGGGAACAGCAGGCTCAGAGTTAAAACAAAATCAGAGCCTTCTTTTAGCACCAAGAGCAGAACCTGTGTTTTTGATGAACAAGGCAGGCCTTGACCTGCCTGACTTGGGTATCTCAGGTCAGTGAGTGTGGTGAGCTGTTCTGTACTGTGAGTGTGCAGGAAACGTGTTGGACTGTTAGCTGAGCGGCTGTTGAGGTAATTTACCCTGAAGTTCTACTTACCAGCACTGAGAACTGTAACTGAGTATTCCCTTCTGTCTCTCTGGGTACATCTGCAGCCTCCTGGAGCACTGTCGGAAGCATAAATATCTCTCTACTTCTGGAGAAGTGTTTGCTTTGCTGGTCAGCAGCCTGCTAGAGAACCTGCTGGACTACAGGACAATCATGCACGATGAAAGCAAGGAGAACCGCATGAGCTGCACTGTCAACGTGCTGGTATGGGCAAGGCTGGATTTGGATGTGGGTGCTTCCTTACTGACCTGGCTTTTGTGGATTCTGAAGGATTTTTTTTTTTTTTTGTAGGATTTTAAGTAATTCTTTATGCCATTTCTGGTTAATGATGGGTCTAAATCAGGCTCCTAGCTATTGACAGCTACAAAATGTAGAAAGATGTACAGTCCAAAATCAAGTCACACAGCTGGTCCTTGTCTACATGGTAATCTGAAGCCCTAAAATATAGGCAGGAAATATGGCTAGCTGATAGTTTGGGAAATGAGGGCTTAAGTCCCTGTTTCACTGCAAAGAGCCTGCATAACTTGGGACCAGTCACTTTCTCTCTCTGACTTATCTCATTTCTAGATGTGATAGTAACCCCACCTTACGTTAAAGGGATAGTTGCAGGGATTATATGCACCTAAGTAGGAAAAATGACAGCAAAGATCTTTGAAATATCTAGAACTGGTGCTTAAGTTACTTGTCTGGACATGATGATGCAAATCCATGGCACTTCACATTGTAGGAGTTTGACTTCTTTTCTATTCTTGGCAGAATTTTTATAAGGAGAAGAAACGAGAGGACATTTATATCAGGTAGGCTGTTTCCCTCCATAAACCTGTACAGAAGCCTGTATTTCTCTTGTTATTATGTACACTGATACAGGAGTCCTTCACATCAATTAACAATTGCTTTTTGTTTTTTTAGGTATCTATATAAACTCCGAGACCTGCACACAGACTGTGAGAACTTCACAGAGGCAGCATACACTCTCCTCCTCCATGCAGAGCTGCTCCAGGTATTACACTAAAGCCAGTTTTAGATTCCAGTGTTAGGGTATGAGTTTTAAATGAAGTGCATACAGCTCAGAATAAACAATTCATTTTTTAAAAGTATTTTTTTAATTTTTTGAATGTGACTTTGGATTACCTAGGTTCTGGTGGTCATTAAGAAGCATCACAATTTTGCAAATTGCACAGCAGCTAAATTGAATGAAAGCAAAAATATTATTAGCATAAATCTGTTACATACTTGTGGTAAAACAGGGTGCTATAGTCAGCTGGGAGAAAATGTCCATGTTTAGGGTCGTAGTACAGTTTTTTCCACTTCTGTGAGCAGTGCAAAATGCATTAGCCTACACCATCTTAATTTGGGTTTAAATCAACCTCTTTTTCTTCCACAGATTAATAAAGCATACACATTCACTTAGTGTCTCAGCATAAGACCTTAAGCCAAAAATCACACCAGTTCTGCAGATATAACTAAACTTGTATTAAAATTTTAACATGATTTTTAAATATGACTAAAGAAATTGGACAAGTTCAGATGAATTCTCAAACCGATTTGAAACAAACTTTCATTGTAGAAAAATTTGCACATAACTGAAGCTTTCTGGCTGTTTATATGTGGAGTGAGTTTAACTGAGCAGCTGTCTGGAGTGGTTTAAGAAGTTGGTGCGTGCTGGCCACTTGTTATTCTAACCATGCTGCTGAGGTGCAGTGTTTGTATGTGCATTCCTAGTTTACACTAGCCAGCCAGCTCAGTTTATGTCACTCTCTCTTTGCATTGATGATGGATTTGTCGTCAGTGCATCACTGCAGAAGGTGAATCTATCCACTGTAAGGATTTGTTAATCTGAAAATGTTCCAGTTCTTTCAACTTTGCCTTTTTCCCTCTGTACTAGTGGTCCGAGAAGCCGTGTGTCCCTCATCTCCTGCAGAGGGACAGCTACTACGTCTACTCACAACAGGAACTCAAGGAAAAACTCTACCAAGAAATTATCTCCTTCTTTGACAGGGGCAAAGTGAGTGTCTCTGTAGTGTTCTTACAGTTCACTGGTAAACAGTTGGTAATACAGTTCACAGCCACTGGGTGAATACAGCTGACAGAAGTTGTTAAAACAACTTGTGTTGAAAGCAGACGTGATTCCATAACAAGCCTTTGATGCTTAGGCCTGGCTTTTTAATAGACACTACAGTTCTGGCACGAGCAGGCCATGTATTCGTGTTAGTAATATTTGAATTGTTCTGTTTCCTAGTCAAAGAGCATCTGAAAAACTAACCCTGTTCAAGGTGCTGCATAGATGAGAAAACTATGGGTGTTTTCCTTTCGGTTTCTGGATAATAGCTTTTGTCAGGCTTATCTGGCTGATACTGAACTTGTATTAGTTGTGCTTTGGATAGATGGTTCTACCAGGGCTAAATGAGACAAACCCCAGGAAGCCTGATGCAGAGGATGAAGTATTAATGTAGGAGGAGACCACTTGGGCTTCTCTCTTTTGCTCTTTAGACATGACACCTCTTTCTGCCTCAGTTTTCCCTATCAGGAGGAACAATAGAAACCTTGCTTTGTAAATCACTTTCAGATCTACAAATCAGAAGAGAAAGAGCTGTGTGACTATTATTGCAAAAAAATGTACAGCGTGAAGTCTAAAGGAAAGCTGGCAGTGCATTAAAGTGTTGCCTGAATTAAAATCAGCTCAAGTTTTTGTTTACCTATCTGTGGTAATGAGTGCTTTTAACTGAGTCTTTTATTTTGCTTGTTGCTCTTCTTCCCCCACCTGCCTTCCTTCACCCTCCATGGAGATGTGGGAAAAAGCCATTCAACTGAGCAAAGAGTTGGCTGACATGTATGAAAACAAGGTCTTTGATTATGAGGGACTTGGTAATCTCCTGGTAAGATTTATTCCCTCCATTTTCAGCAGGCTGCTGACTGCTTAAATTAATATTGTTGAGTAGGATAAGCCCAAAATACATCCATGTTAAAGACAAACAAACCAACATAACCCCTGTGGTTTTGTAAAGCTTAATATTAGAGGAATGTTTTCATAATTTTTATTTTTTAAAGTGTGTGGTTTTGACCTTGTAATTAGCATGGCAATATTGTGTGCAGATGTTTAGCATTCTTAGTGTTGATCAGAAAAGGTAACATTTGCATGGTGTACTTTCAGGCTCCATAAATCTCATCACCTCAGTTTTTCTGTGATAAAACTACCGTGGATGAACACAGAACTATAGAATCATCTTGGTTCTGAATTATGGGTTTTAGTGGTTAAAGATGTAACCAGATGGTCTTTATGTTCTTTTGTATGAGAATCATCTGCCCAGTTTTATTTCTGCCAGTTCTCTGACATTTGTCACCATTTGTATCTGCTCAGTTTCAGAACATATTTATTTTTAATTTGTGTTGCAATAGTCAGGGATTTCAAGTATCCTTCTGGAATCCTAAAAAACATGGCATTGTTCTCATTTCTGCAAAGCAGGAAATTAAGTTGATTCTGGCCCTTACAAACCAAATATTTAACCAAGTAAATGGATAAGTATGAGATACTGTATCAAAAAAAGAATTGTAAAAAGAATTCTGTAGGGGAGAACTAATAGATCAGGAATTGTCACTGGGAGTGTGAGCTGCGGTCTGGCAATGTCCTTCAATACTCCAAGCTGAAAATGCTGGTGACTTTTTCTTTTTTCAGAAAAAACGAGCTACTTTTTATGAGAATATTATGAAGGCAATGAGACCTCAACCAGAGTACTTTGCTGTTGGATACTATGGGCAGGGTTTCCCCTCTTTCCTCCGGGTAAGAATTCTTTAGCACTCATATTCTGGAGTGGTGAGTACCCTAAAACTCACAACTTTTGCAGAGCTTCCAAGAAAATTCAGGTGCTAAACTCATTTTCCTTTGAATGACACTGAGAGATCTAAATCCCTTAAGTATTTCAAAACATTTCAGCATTTAAAAAGAGACAAGTAAGAGACTAGATTTTTTGTGTTAACAGATTTAATAAAGTTAGTGTGTCACAATGTTCTTATATGGACTTAAACAGAATCTACCTTTTGTATTTGTGCCCTGTACACTTCCTCAGAAATATGATGGTTGCCCTTAGAAAATGTTTAGCTTGTAAGGAATTTATCCCATTGCTTTTCAGCCTGAAACAACCTAATTTTCAGGACATGGATCATTTCAGTGCTCAAGCACATTATTGAGAGTCTGTCCCACGCAGAAGAATTAAATTGCAAAGATGCTTCCTGTTTGAGATTGCTGCTAAGCATTGCTGGATCTGTGCTAGCTATAATACCAGAATCTAGCCAAAGTGAGTCAGATGGGCAGGGTGCAGCATACTAGAAAATATTCCCAACTATTATTTAAAATTAAGGAACATTTATATTTTCAGTTGTTTGAAGTTGCTGGCCTTAAATAGAAGCCAAGCTTAATAAAAAAGAAAAATGTTAACTTAGGACTGTGGAACTGGATGGCATAGGCAGCTTTTACCTCCAGGTCATGTTTATGAATCCATCTCTTCCAGAAACCACCACTGCTTTGTGGCCAGTTTGGAAAAATAATTGGGCATAATCTACTGTTAAGTCTGTAGTGGAAAACTGCCATAGCTGGCCATTTTGTTAATGGTAGCTGAAGAGAGTCAGGAATGGAAGAGAGGTAAAACTCGTGTCCTTGTGCATAGAGACATCCCTCGGTTAACTCACACCGTAAGTGGTCTGGCAAGGAGCATGCAGTTCCCTGCATTAAAGAACTTTTTGGGACACATGTTCTCTTACTTAAAATCAGTGAGACTTCATGTGTTGAATGTGTGATTTCTTAGAGTGCTGGAAAGCATAAACATGTTCAGTAACACTTGTATGTGGAACAGTGACTTTTCTAGACAAATATGAGGATGCCATTGCAGGGCCTCGCTCCTGAAAGTTGCTGTGTTGTCACTCCAGCCTGTGTTTCTTCTCTCATGTGTTCTGACTTTCTGTTAAGCTAGGAGACAACCCTTGATATGAACTAGATCTGTGAGACTACTCTGTGTATGTTTGGAAAGCTCTTTCTCATTCCTGTTTTTTAGTGTTAATTCTCTTTTTCTTCTGCTACCCACAGAATAAAATTTTTATCTACCGTGGCAAAGAGTATGAACGAAGGGAGGACTTCAACCTGAAGCTATTGACCCAGTTTCCTAGTGCTGAGAAGATGACCAGCACTGCCCCTCCAGGAGAAGAGATCAAGTCTTCTCCAAAACAGTGTATCTTTTGGTTCTAATATATTTTGTCACGTTCAAGAGCTGCCTCTTTCCTAGAATAACAGAATTGGTGAACAACAATAAAAAGCCAGAAACTTCTCCAGGGGGACTTTGAAGACAGGCACTGGGCATGAAAATAAGATTATCCAGAACTGCAGTAGTCAACTTAAACATATTGAAAAAGAGAGACAGCTTGATATTGTCAGAGTTTGTTGCTGATAGGATGAAACCTTAACAGGTTGCAGGTCAGGATGTCTTTGTGTTGCCTTCTCAAGCAGGTGGTGCTGACTGCTGTAGTAGATGTGTGATCCAGTTTGGTATTTCTAAGTGAAAGAGGGAAAATACAGGCAGTGAAAGCGGGATATGAAGAAAGTGGAAGTATATTCTCTTCCTGCTTGCAGCTAACTAGTATTTATGAAGTGGCTGGGTTGGTTTCTTTTTTCTCTCTAGAAGTCACTTTGTAAAAAGTGTGAAGTGATTATTTATGTTGATAAAAGTTATTGGGTGAACATCCCTTCTTTTTTTATTTTTATTCTTTATGCTGGTGGATCTCCAAACTGTGTGACACAGCACACCACTCGGCTTAAGATCCTCTTAATTGTGACCATGACCAAGTGCAACCTAGTGAAGATGCTTCAGATTCTTGTTTTTGACTTCCAGTCAACAGCAGGTGTGCTCCTGGAGATGTACATCAGTGAAAACAAGTTAATAGGCTTCTAGGCTGCGTTATACAGACCAGTGTTACACAGGCCAGACTAGAGAATCTGATGGTCCATTTTGGTCTGTGTACAAAGGCACAACTCAAGCAGTGATACCAGATGCTTCCCTTGCAATGAGCCTGCCAAGCACTAAATCCACATAGGAAATTAAAATTCATTCAAGACCAAACTTGGTATCAAAAAATGCCTCTTCTATTGCTGCTTTGTTTCAGCTACTTCCTTTGCATCTGTTTGTGTTTGTTCTAATGTTTTTGGCTCAAAATGAACCTGAACTGCAAAATTTGGATCCAGATCTGAACTCTTCCAAAAGTTTGGGGGTGTTTGGTTCCGGGTCTTTGGCATAGCCTCGTTATAAAGGGGAGCAGCTGCATAGCTTGGATTTAGTACAGGTTCTTCTCGGACTCTTACAAACACCTTCTGAAAAGATGAGGAGTTTGAGTACCCAAATCACTGTTGTGTTAGGCAGGGGTTGGTGGTTCTGTAGTTTGTTTTACTTTCATGCTTTTTTAACCTCCTTTGTCTCAGGCTTTTTTACTTTTGCTGAGAATCTGGTTTCCTTGCTCTTTGATGATAAAATGCCTTGTTCTTCCTTTGGTTGTTTCCTAATAGTCTGTTGGAGATACTAAGTGAGCTGTTCAGTCTCAGGGAATGCCTACACAGTTAAACAGGGTAGACTTCCACCAGAACAGGGTAGACTTCCCCTAGTTCTGAACTCAAAGCTATATAGCGTGCTTAGCATGGCATGAAGCCCAAGTTAATAAGCTCTCCTGAGAGACAGAATATATTAGCTTGGGCTCAGAGCTTGATCTAATGTGGCTATGTGGTTTTGGGTTCAGATTTGGCTACTCTCCAGCTGGCTCTTGATTGCAGGCAGAATGACCTTGCCTTTGCTTTGAAAATACTGTGTAGAACTGCCCTCAGTTAAACAAAGGATGTATGGGGCTACCCTACCCACCAGTAAAACATTGCTGCTGCAGAGTGCAATTGGCAGGTGATTCACAGGAATAATCTATTCATATGGGTCGAATTTTTATACTTTACTTTTCCATACAGATTTTGACTTCTGTAAAGCCTTTAATACAGTCTTTAAAACAGAACTCTGGAGGAACAACATTGTAAGGTGTTGTGCTTGGGGACACTAACTTTTTTTCTTAAATTTCTATTGTGGTTCACAGGTGCAAAAGCTGAAGTTGAAATAGATGTTAACTGATTAAAAACAGCCTGCTTGCTTCAGTTAGCTTAACTGATCAAAGAATTGGGAGGGAGGGGCAGCTTCACTGTACTGGAATAATCTGACAAATAACCGTGGGGTGGTGGAGGGGAGAGAAGACACAGACACATCCGTTACAGAACCTGGTGCAGAACCTTGTTTTCCTCTCCCCAAAGCAGAAATCAGTAGCACTCAGGCTTCCCAAGCTTTTCACCAGGGAATTCCAATAGTTGGAAGTACTCGTTCAGCCCTTACCATTTGGGGCTTTTAGTTCATGAGTAGCATCCAAACTACAAGAAGCAATATAATGCCTGTGATGGTTGATAAGCTCCTAAGTATTTTTCTTCAAACACAACAGAAGCACAGGGGGTTGGTGAGAAGTCTGACATTTGATGAAAACAAGAAGGGTATTTCTATCCTTCTTCTGTTTTCCCAAAAGGATTCATAGTTTTTCATCCTTAACTGTAGCTGCTCAGATGTGCAGTGCTTTATTGTGAAGCCTGTGATGAACCTGCCACCTAATTATAAAGACAAACCTGTTCCTGAACAGATCTTAAAGTAATTTCTTTTCCTTTTCCTCTCAATATTTCCTCTGTATTTTTCTTAACCAGGCTAGGCACAAGGTGGAGTACCTTTGCATCTCGTGTGAATTTGTTTCACAGTCCAGTTTAAACTTGGTTGTTTTTGAGAGGAAACAGAAGAACATTTATGTCAGGAGGTTGAGAGGTGGGAAATCTCACCATTTACTCTGCTGCTTTCTAGCTACTACAGAGCAAACGAGGTACAGCAGTTCACCCACTCCCGACCAGTCAGGAAAGGAGAAAAAGATCCAGACAACGAGTTTGCTGTGAGTCCTTTGCTTTTGATGCATTTATTTATTTTGTTGGTGGCATTTTGAACAGCACTATCACTATTTTTTTTTTTTCCTCCACCTGTTGCAATGGAGTTTTTCTGTTAAAATGTAGGAGAAGCGAAGGGCTGCACTTTGCATTGCAATCTTTACATAAAGCCAATGAGATAATGTCAGGGGCTCCATAGCTGTAGTTGTGGTGCTCAAAATCCATGATCTAGGAACCATGAATATTGTGCAGCTTCCTATAGAGTGCAGCTGTGTGTCTGGTAGATTGTGAATGATGTGGACATCCTTAAGGAGGCCAATCTCTAACCATGAAGGATCAGTTCAACTTCAGGCAAGCTTTTAAGATTTGCAGCAGATAGTGAGCTGTGGTGTAGTGTAGCATGTTTCCTTGCTACCTGTGAGTCATGCTCATGTGTAGTGGTTGGGCATGATGCATATAACTCTGGCTAAATATGCCATAATTGCTGTCCTGCTAATAGTGACCCACATGGAGGATAACAGCCTCCTGCTGCTAATGTTGGTACCATTTAAACAGTAGAGGTGGTATTTATTGCCAGAAACACTGGGTTGCTTCCCAGTTGTTGAAGGTGACAGTCATTGTGTAAGTCCTGCCAGCTAGTGCTGGAAGCCTGGTTCCATGCTGTACTGCAGAAGAGAATTAAATTGCAAGACCAATATTTTATTTACATCTTGGAATTTTTTCCTTTTCTAACTAGAATATGTGGATAGAAAGGACAACCTAAAAATATTCATTTCCAGGCATCCTCAAGTGGTTTGAAGTCAAACAGGTTACAACGGTGAGTTCTGCATATGTGCTGGGTCTCATCTCCTGCAATCTTTCATGGAGTAAAGAGTCTTGCAACAGTTAGAACTACTAGTTGTTCCACTGTTGGATATGGCACACCAATAACTTCTCCTTCAGATGAAAGTGAATATGTATCATCTTTGCTGTGCTTATCTTTTTATGCCTCTAGCCAAGGCAGCAAAGTTCTGCGTTGACTGTATAATGCTTGGGAGAGTGGTTAGTTCTGTAACATGCTCCACAGTGAGCAGCCAAGTCCTAAACTGTTGTTCCTTCAGGTTAAGGTATAAGATCATTCTTGCATTCATCTCTGAACATCAAGAGAGTTAGCGCAGGGGGTCCAAAATCCTCTGCTGGAAACTGTTGGTCTGCTGTTCATATACAAGGAGTTACTTAACTTCATAATCCATGGAGGTGAGTGAAGGTTTATTCTGATTCTTCTTTCCATCAGGAAGAGATCAGCCCCTTGGAGAATGCCATTGAAACGATGGAGCTAACCAATGAGAAAATTAGCAACATTGTCCAACAGCATGTCTGGGACCGGAGTCTTCCTGTACATCCTCTCTCTATGCTCCTGAATGGGATTGTGGACCCAGCGGTCATGGGCGGATATACCAACTATGAAAAGGTCTTTTTCATGTTTATCTGTAGCTCAGTCTGGTGACCTCTGCAATGTTGAAGACCTGAATTAAAACAGGGGAGGTTCAAGCTCAGTTTTCAGTTGTTACTCAAACAACTTTGAGTGCTTTCTGTAGCTGTATCTGCCTGTTCAGAGCTCAAAGAAGAGGAGAAAAGAACAAAGATAAGAGATTTCCACTAGACTGGAAGGTGGAAAACCCCATATTTTTAGTGTTTAGTTTTAGTGCTGTGCATTGCCACAGAGATGAGTGATCCAGCTCATTTTTACAGTGGTGATAATAACATGGTCCTACCTTGTGGGGTCATTGAGATGCTTGGTCAGCCCAGTGATGGGTGCAAAGGTAACAAAGAAAATCAAAAGAGCTGACATTTCTCCATTGTATTAATATAGAATGGTAAAGCAAATGAGGATTTCTCTTTCCAGCAGATAGTCTGTGGAGTCTTGCAGCAAAGATCATCTATTTCAGGAAAAAAAACACTGTTTCCTCCAGGTTTATTCAGTTGACTTCAGTTGAACAGCGTATGTTGTTCTTTTATTGTGATGTTTAACTTAAGCTGTTTATTCCCAATATCTAATGATGGTGTTCCCAGCACAAAATACATTGCTGATTTCTATAATGAATGGATGGTGTTAGAACACATTTAATTCTTCTCAAATGTGTTCCAGTCACATGAAATGACGTGCAAAAGTTAAATGGGAGAGGGTCTGATTTATCTGAGGTCTAACTCTGCTGGTTCCAGAGGAGTCACATACTTTGCCAGGGCTGAATTTGGCCCTAAATCCTCCCATTTTATGAATTAAGGTTGACATAAAGTTTAAAATTACAAAAGTGGGAAAGCAGTTAAAACTAGGAAACACAAAGTATCTGTAACCACATCTGGAAATACTCATTTCTGGTTCATATTTTCCTATTTCAACTGAAGATCAGTACAGAACATTTGGCTTTTGTGGGCGGCTAAAATCTTGAGTTTTAATTGTTTCATTGTAGCCAAAAGCCAGAGTCTGCATTTTTAACATGCGCTTTTCTTCTTACAATAATTAAACACTTTCAAGACAAATCCAGTGGGACCTACCCGGCAGTCCTTCCACAGGCTAACCTCCTCCTGACATCAGCCTTTTCCAGAGTCATACCACTCAGCCTATAAACACTTGTACATAGAGTCCAGTTAATGGAATACAGAACTAAGAAAAATATGCAGAGGCTGAAATAGATCAGAGAGGCGTTTTAAAACCAAATGAAAAATTATTAGGGATTTTATCTAGGAAAAAGAAAAAATAAATTTCTTCTGAGTAGAAATTGTGATACATTTCATACAATACACTGCAGCACATAATGTGAATTGGCACAATTTTAAGGCTTCAGTCTAGGAAAGTGTACTTGTGTTTGTTCAATTTTAAACTGATACCAGATTCTGTTGATGAAAGGTAAACACACAAGAAGTGTAGACTAAAGGTGCTTTGTTGAATCAAACTGTGAGTCAAACCCTCAGCATGGTCTTTTATTTGTACTGAAGCTTCATAACAAGCCCCATGTGAAAATGTTGTACTTAAGGGCTTAAATCATAGAGCTGAAGGAAATTGCAGGCAGGAGATACCCTGTTCACCTCGCTGCAGCTGAGGTTGTTTGCATGTCGTGTCCTGTAGGTCACCGAACGCTAGCAATGAAGGAGACTTCTTGAAGTCAGAACTCAGGGACTGGATCTGCTACTCACATTTGAGTGACAAGGAACGTAGCTTTGATTATTCAAATCAATACTATTTTATAAGAATGGAATCGGAATCGAAGAAAACCCTTGCTATGAAATAACTTTTTTACATATCAGTGTTTCACTGGAAAAAACGTAGAATTTGGGTGGTTTTTGTTTGTTTGTTTTACAAAAAAAGTCCCTTTTCACAGTTGTCAACAAATGGTTCTTTGTCCCTCAGCTTTGTGTCAGGGATATATTAAAAACAAACTTTGCTATGAGGAATCATGCTAATTAATTGCTTTTAAAGTACAGGGACCTTTCACTCAGGAGTTTGCTGTGAAAGCAACGCAGTGTCTTTATCTTTTCCTTTTGCTTTCAGGCCTTTTTCACAGAGAAATATCTTCAAGAACATCCTGAAGATCAAGATAAAATTGAACTGCTTAAGCAACTAATTGCTCTACAGGTATCATATTGGGAAAGAAGTGGAAGCACTGTGTGTGAATGCAGATGTTTTTCCAGCATCATAGTTTTGGACGAAGAGAATGCAGATAAATACTAGAAGAACAATTTGAATATGTGGACAGTTGGTTTTTATTTTGAGGAAACTGTCATATTCTAAAATTGTGGCTTAGACTGTGCCATGTACCTCCTGTTGCTCTGAAATGTTATCCTGGAATATTTGCCAACATGGAGAAGATTTTTCCCTCATGAGTGTAACAAATATCTGTTAACTTTTAATGAAATCATCAGACCTAACGTTCTGTCAGTCTGACCATTGGAAGTTGTCTATTTTGACCTGCCTAGCAATGAAAAATTGCCCTAGTTTTTTTTGTAATGCAAATGCCATCCCTGCAGACCAGTTTTTACCTATTTCCACACAACAGAGCCCAGTTAAGGCTGCCTCACAGTCATACAGCTGTGGGGGGGCTAAGAAGTGATACTCCCAACATTTAACATGCTGTGTTTTCCGAAGCAGAACATGGAGTCTGAGGAGGGAAGGAACCATAGGTATAGATGGGGAAAGCGTTGGTATTTTTTGAACACATGGTGTTCAAACAGTCAAGTTACTACAGTGTGACAAGTTATGAGTCAGTAGCTGAGCTTCCTTACTGTACAATTGCTTTTTTTGCCTTTGCAAACTTTAATTGTGTTGATTTAAGTCCTTTGGTTGTATCTGAGATGTGTAACACGGATAGAAAATTCCTTCCTGGAACAGGAAGGCTGATTTGTCCTTTTGTAGCTTAATTTTCTTCCTCCTTTCAGATGCCGTTGTTGGCAGAAGGGATTAGGATCCATGGTGAGAAGCTGACAGAACAGCTGAAGCCTCTGCATGACAGACTGACAGCCTGTTTCAAGGAGCTGAAGAAGAAGGTGGAGAAGCAGTATGGTGTGATAACTTTGGTAAGCATACCTGGTTGTTTATTGTTTTGCATTAAAGAAACACACCTCTCCCCTTTCCCACTTGAGTGAGTTAGTGGGACATGATTCATCACAAGTGTGTTTGTCTGCAGCCTCCCTCCCTCACTGAAAGGAAACAGAGCAGGTCGGGCTCTGTCGTGTTGCCCTATATCATGTCTTCCACACTGAGACGGCTCTCTGTCACATCCGTGGCGTCTTCTGTGGTCTCTACGTCTTCCACATCATCTGATAGCACTTCCTCCAGACCGGGTTCAGATGGGTTCGTAATCAGCCTTTACACATGATTTACAAGAGTGGGGATATGCCTTCATGGAATTAGTTATTCTTAAAATGAAGATTTATTCCATACACACTAGTAATGCCTACGCATTTAAAACTGTAAACGGAGACTGATGATGTTTTTCCGTTACACAGACAGGGAGTTTGAAGTACAGGTAGGGTTTGTTCTGGGAATTGAATCCAATTGAATCGTGTCTCTGGAAGTCCCAGTTATCTACATGGTACTGAAGAGGGCTGGAGGCACTGTATTCCAGATGCACAGTACTTCTGTGTCCCAGGAATGCTGGAAAACAGAGGTGTAAGATACTACAAGGTAATTCACTTTGATGTGGTCTGCAGAGGTGCATAGTCATGTGGTACTTGTTCCACCTACCTGTTTGCAGCTACATACGTGGCATTAAAAGGAGCTGCCATAAGTGGAAACATTTTCTGATGTTACTTCTCTGTACATCTAGTTTGCATCTGTGACAACCAAGGAGTCTAGGTGAGTTGCTCAAGGTCACACAGCAGATGTGGTGTAAGGGTTCAGCATAAAATGCAGATCTAGCTCCCTCTGCAAGCACATCACACTTTACCATGTACATAAGGCATGGTACTCAAAATTGCTAGGGTAACTTAGAAGCACAAATCTCACTGAAAGTTCCATGGCCCTAACTCAGTTTTTCACAATAATCTCTTCTGTGAACTAAGAGATCAGAGCTTTTTAACAGACAGTGCTTTAAATGGACTAATTTTTCGTATTTTTTCACTCTTTTGTTGTGGGCCACAGATCTATTCTGGAGCCTCTCTTGGAGAGAAGAATATCAACAGCTTCCAGAGCTGAGGAACTGCCCATGAAAGATGATGATAACCGGATTAGCAAACTCAAACGGAAGGACTGGAGTATTAGCAAGTCTCAGGTTATTGTAGAGAAGGAGCCAGAAACGGAACTGACTTCCAAAATGGTAAAAAAAAAGTCAATAATAAAATCCACAGCAGGAGATTTTAGTGTTTCCATTGCTTTCAGCCATGCTTGTCATTGGGAACTTCACTAAATAGAGGGAGGGGTTCAAATACCAAAAGCCTTGGTCATCTGAGTCATTCTTGCTTTTTTATTTGGAAAACTTGTGTCACAGACCAAACTGCAGTTTGGCCTAAGGTACAAGCTGGAAGCACAAGGCACTGATGTTCCACGTAGATGCTCAGTGCCCTCATTTCTTGTAGGAGTGGAGGACTGCACGATGCACTCAGCACCATGTAGAATTGTTCTGTTTTTGTTGGAGCAAGCAGATAACTGCTAGCCCACTCAAAAATCCAGCTGGCAAGCCAGATGTTCAGCTGCTGTCAGTCAACATCACTGCACAAATCAAATGTATTGCAAAGTGGAGATCAGTTTGATAGATTGGGGAGTTGAAAAAAAGATGGTCTAGTAGTTAGGTCACCAGCTTGGGACTTTGAAAACCTGGTTCTTCCAGTCTGTACTCTGCTCCAGACCTCCTGCATGAGGGCAGGAGTGTTTAGTCCTTGAGCAAATCATTTTCAAAAGAGAAATAAAAAGAGAATCTATACCCTCAGAGGAGTGTTGTAATGAGGAATATATTGGAGACTGTTAGACATTCAGATTGACAGTGGGATTCAGAATGATCACCTAATACAAACAGATAAATTTCAGCCCAAAAGTAGAGTTGTATAAACTTGGAGTTACACAACCTTGTATAAGTTATCCTGATTTACTGTCCAACTATATTACACTGTCAGAGAGTATGTGAGAATTAGGCATCTGAGTATTTCAGCTGGTGGCTCAGTGATACTACTTTGACTTAACACAGGCTGCACAAATAATGAGAATACAGGAGTTCTTCTATTTCCCTTTCCCCCCCCACCAAGATCTCAGCTGAATCTGGCAGGAACAGTTTATACTGCTCTATATTCAGGAATTCTCATCAAATCTAAGTGATGCTGCCAGCACTTGAAGTCTGCAGAATATTTATGAAAAGGGGAACTGTAGTTCTAGAGTCGTGTCATTTGGTATTGACAGGCTTTCCACTCAAGAGGAAAATCTGGGGTTGTAAATATTAGTGGTTCAGGAGGCCTGGCCCTCTGCTTATAGAAGAATTAAGTGGGTTTAACCCACAAACTGTGATGTCAGCTGCTGATCACTTTATAAAGTAAAACTAGAGGGAAAAGATCTGGGAGAAAGCCCATTTGTATCGACCGGTTTGCTAGGACAGTAAGGCATGTCTGTCCAAAACTTTGCATTGCAGAGAGCTGAGGGATGCAAACCAGAACACTCACCCTCCCCTCTCCCCCCGTATCTCTGAGGGCAGATTACATGTGTGATCAGCTTACTGAAGTGAAAGAGCAGTTAAGGGTTATATTCCTGCTCAAGAACATTGCAAAGTACAGAGAAAGCTGTTTTTATAGCTGGTCTGTTCCAAAGCTGCATAGTGCAGCACAGGAATTGAACAGACTGATTTTATGCAGCTCTTGACTAAGCTCCTTGGGACCTGGAAAGCCAGAGGGAAGCAAAGGTTTGCTGTATGTCCAGCAGCTTTGGTCTTTATAAGTTTTATATACACTGCACACCAATGTGTGGTCCCTTCTGCGCAGTGGGAAATACTGAACTGCTTAATACAGAGAATTGATCTCTAAAAGAGCCCAGTGAGTTTAATTACGTGTGTAAGTGACAGCTTTCTCTGCAAAGCAATAAACTAATATTTAAAAGGACTATAATATTCATATACTGGACTCTTGGGACCATATTCAGCTGGCCTCATGATTTGAGTGAAGAACACAGAGGACATGTGTGACACTGGAAGGAACTGGAACATCTCCCAAGTCCCAGATGCAAGGGATTTGCTCTGCAAAGCCTGAAATAAACTTATTTCACAGCCCTAAGGAGCTGGCTGATAAAAGCAGTCCAGACTTGCACCCAGAATTTCATCTTTTTGGAAAGACTTCTTTTTCTCCAGATTTGTTCACAGAACTGCTAATCAAACACAGCGATTTCTCAGCTTGATGTTTTCCTCTTTGCTTAATACACTAAGGTTGTTAAAACAGTTCACTGTTGCTACCCAGTTAATAAGGTCCCACAGAAAACTGGATGTGTTGTAGGAGCACAGTGTGTGCCTGTTAACGTGCCTTAGCCAGTGCTGTGGTTTCACTCCTGTTTCACCTGAATGCACCTTTCTCTCTTATTCATGGCTTTTCTGGAGCATGTTGATGCCTTTGTCACAGGAATGATGATCTGATACGTGTCTGGCAACTTTGCTGACTTCTAAAGGTTCTGTTTATTCTTTGTTTCAACCAGGGCATGTCAGGAAAAGCACAAAGGCCAAAGAGTCTTCAGTTAGGAGACAACAGACTGACTTTGCTTCAGGGTTCTTCACTCCAGCAATCAATGCCTCGCAGCCCACCACCGATCACTCCCAAAACACCAAGAACCCAAAGTAAGTTCTATTAAAGAGCAGTTGTCCCATCCTTCAGGGCAGTATCTGCAGCAGTAGGAATTACTGTCTATTTGCTGAGGTAACCTCACTGGGGAGGGAGGAACTGCTCTGAAGTAGTTGACAGAAAGTGACCCTGGGCTGTTAATGTTTGTAAACGTTTTTGTCAGATAACAGAATTTGGCAGTGCTATCAAAAGCACTACAATCATACCTGTCACCTACATATCACTTATTAAAATTAGTATATCAGATTAATTCCAGAGAACAATTTTTATCTTTTTCAGTTTCTTTCTTGTTTTCTCCTATATTGACTTGTGGAAAGGTATATTAAACCTCAAGGTGAACATCATGCAATCAATGTGGATGCTTGTAAATGCATCATGTCAGGTGGTTACAGCACATACTAAAGGAATATCTCCTGTGAATTCACTGGATGGAACTGCATCCGTCCAGCATGGTATTTCTGATCAGGTCAATGGCTAAATTTTCTAGGCAAGCCCTGAAGGCTTTGTTAATTAATGAACAATAATTCCCAGCACGCAGCAAAAAACTTTAAGAAAAGTTGCTTTGCAGTTTGGAATAAATTTTACACCTAAAAGAGACAGAATTAATCTTGAATTAGCCAAATGAATAATTAGCAAAGTTACTTCTTTGCATATCCAGTAAGCTCTGTAGTTAGTTCTGAAGCAGCATATAAATACAGTTAAGGTAAAATTACAGCTGTAGTGTCACCACTGACAAACTCCTCTCTTTCTGTTGCATTTCTCATTCTGCTGTTCTTTTTATAAAGGAACAGAAGTTCCTATGTAGGACCTGACTGTCTTTCCTCTTATGTGGGTATAAATTCAGAATCCAGTTTAGATAAGGAACTTAAAGTAGCATAAAACTGTTGTGAGAGGATTGAAAACAAAAAATACATATTGGGGTGGGGAGACAACCAGAAACACAAACAGATGCAGGAATACTATATGAAGAAAGAATCTGTGAAAGGAATGTGAAACCTCACTCTTCTCCTTAGCAAGCAGTTTTAATTGCCATTAGAGCAGGACAGCTTCCCAGGAATTCTTCTGAAGTTTGGGTACTTATCTACTCCATCAACTGGAGTTAAAATCAAAGTGAATTCTCAGGCTGAGGCCCAGGCTGAAAGGAAACTCCAGTGAACATTGCAGTTGTGATAATGGATTCAATTTTCTCTTCTCTCAGGCGTGTGTTTTTCACATAAGCTTAGATTCATTTGACAAAGATAGAAATCTTCTGGGCATTTTGACCTTAAGGGAGATGCAACAGTGACTCTACTTTGACATATCCATTCAGGTTTAGCTGCTAAAGCAGGGAACTGCTAGCAGATCAAAAGCACAAGATATTAAATGAATCTCCCTTAAAATTCTACGTGGTCAATCCCATTTCCCGTTCCTTTTCTGCCTACTTTAATGTCTTTTCTTATTATTGTTGTTGCTTCTAGGTTTTCCCTCATTGCAAGCTGATGGATTGGCAACAGCTAGTTTACAGAGCACCCCACCCCCCCCTCCGCCCAAAAGCAAACCCTATGAGAATAACAACCCCAGGAATTCTGTAGAGGTAAGGAAATGAGAGCTGACAGCTTTTTGGAAAACAGCTTTTGAGAAAAAGACACCAGTGGAATTTTCCAAGCTGCTTCTAGGGTGGTGCGACTTGAAACTTGTCTAATCATTTTAGTGGTTCACTCCCTGAAACCACAAAAGAATAAAAAGTTTTTTGCTTCAAGAGAAAAGCTATCAAGTGTAGTCTTTTTTTTTTTTTTTGAGTGGGAGTTGTGTTGTCCTTGGTTAGGCAAACTGTGTGTGGGGGTGGGAAGATATATTGAAAACAAACAAGCACAATGATTGAAAAGTTTCAAAAACATGGTCGGTGTAAAATAGCGCAGTAATCTGGTCCTGAGAAAGAAAGGGGAAAAAATTCACATATTTTGAGAAATGCTAAATGTCTCCTTTTGAATCCTCAGCTCAGAATAATCTGGTTTTTCAAGATGTGTGTCACTAGTAACTTAAACCAGCCTGTATTATGTCACCATCTTAGCCACAGCCTTTTTCTCAATTTAATGAAGTTTCCTTGTAGGAACATCAAATTGCTACTTTTTTTAATGCTGTATCACTAATGTTTCTGTTATACTATGAGATTCCAAATGGTTTGCAGATACTTAAGGTGTAAATACTCTGGTCATGATGTCAGAATCATTTAATCTGCCCCTGCAATGTCGGTGCTTCTGATACGAGACTGTAATTGCTTACCAATGCACAGCAACAGAAAGCATCCTTTTGTGCCTGTGAAAGGGGGGGATGTCTTCCCCAGTCCAGTTTGCAAAGAGGATTTACAGAGTACCTTAGTGAGATGAACTGCAGTTTGACCAAAAAAGTATTTAAAAAATGATCATACTCAAAATATGTTACCCCTGACAGAATGGGAAGACAACAAAACAACTGATCATTTAATTCTGTTAAAGATACAACGCTGGTATAAAGCCTTGAAGTGTGGGTAAAATAGGAGTTTTTCTACTTTGCCCTTCATTTGGGTAGAATTGCCTGTGCTTCTGCAAGGGGACAGTATAGTTGCTGGAGGTGGTGTGAATGGTGGAAATACGCCAGCTCTAGGGATGCTGTGGGAGTCACTGGTTGAAGAGGATTAGTAAAAGAGCCTCCTTCCCTTGAGTCTTGTAAGAAAACTTAATTACTAACATCTTCTGGCTTGCAACATTGACCTTGGCTTGCAGCCAAATGAAAAGGCTTCGAAGGGCTGTAAAGGGAAATTGTAAAAGTATTTTCTGAAGAGTTTTGTTGCTTTGTTGTTGTTGTAAAGTTGACACTGTCTTCCTTCAGATAAAATAGTCCTGAAATCTTGGGAGCTTTGGCTGAGCAAGTGGTGAGCCACACAAGCTTCTTGTTCACCTGGCCTTTCACATCTCATTTTTTTTACAGGATGTCCTTTAAAACAAGCAGAGAGACAACTTGAAAGAACCCACAAGTGCTGTTTTGTGCAAGAATAAGAAATATTTTATAAGCCCCTGTGCTGGGCAGGAAGGCTGTAGCTTGCTTTAGTAGAACTGTACTTGCTACCATTTTATGGAGTTAGTTGTGCCATTCTGACTTGGAAGCATTTTACATCCTTTTGGCCCCTACTTGGTGCAACTCATCAAGTCAGCAAGATAAAAACAGTTGAATTTTGAAACCTTATGGGAAATGGGTTTATTACAACTTTACTGATTGTGGGGCAGAGGCACGAATGTCTCTGACTCAAAGTCAGGCTGCAGGTCAGAAGCAACTCAAGTAAATCCGCAACTAAAACATATTTGCTTCTGTTATCTCCTAGGGGTCTGCCCTTGTTTGCCCCTGTCATTGATTACATGTAGTACTGAGAGGTTGAATTCGAAGATTTGATCCTGAAAGAAACATCAAGTAGTACAGGACCTTTTAGATTTCTTGTTTGGTAAAGCAAAATATCTGAACTTGCCAGTAATTGTTTATTTTTCTATATGTTTTTGTTTTATCTTCTCAGGTTGCTCCACCATTACCCAGCAGACGTGAAGCCAAACCTCCCCCTCCACCCCCAAAAACCAGAAAATCCAGCGTTGTCTCTTCAGAGCAAGGGTTGCAGTGAGGATCATCACTTGCTGGTATCACAGCAAGCACCTAGAGTGAAATGGCTGCTTTCTTTTTACTGACATGCTGGGGCTTTCTGATCCTAAAGACCGGTGATCTCACCTGCCATTCCATTCACTTTCCTTGGAGTTTTCTTTGGGAAATACCAAAAGGAACTGTTATTGTGACTGTATTCCCAACCTCTGGTTTACCTTTCCTCTACTCAGACACTAATCACGTAGCAGGAGAAGTCATCTTACTGGAATTCTTGTCTGTCTTAAGTCTTGTCTGTCCCAAGTTTTTTTCACTGATGCAATTTCAGCCGCTCATTCCTAGTGTAGATCTGTCACAGTAGTTGTTTGCACCAGTGTTTGAAACAAGGTAAGCCACACCAGTATGAGATGTGTCCTACAGTATTTTCACTGAATTTCATTACAGCTTTCCAGCTGTACGTACACACCGACCCCTCCTCCTGCCCCTGTAGGGTTGCCAACCCTTGATTTGCATGAAGTGAAGCAGCTCGTGCCCATTCCTACACTGGGGAATGTTGGCTCCTGAGGTGTCAGGTGCTTGTGTATGATGTGCGGTCTCCTAAGATTCTTGATTGCAGGGGGAGACCTGAGCATTGCTAGCAGATTACAAGGTTGTTTTTTTTTGCTAGTCATCATATGTATTTAAGGTGAAGTGCAGACGTTCTGCCTCACACCATCTCTCCTCGAGTAGTGGCAGTTGCTCACTCCCAATGGAGAGTTTACATTCACCACTACTTTGTCATAATTTCACTGGTGATTCTGGTTTTAACACTACAGAGGAGTTGATATTCCTCCCTGAATTATGTTACCTACTTGGTTTGTGCTTACCTCTGGGATTTCGTACAGTATTTCATCTTTGTGCTTTTTAATAGGATGTAAAAAGTTGCTTCTGTCCTGAGAATACATGAGAAGGATGGAAGCTGCACTGATACTGGTGCTGTACTGGTACCAGCAACTTTGAGAGGATGGATTGTGCAAAACTAGTTACACATCTTGACCTCAGAAACAAAGTCTGATAGTTACTGTAACCTCTACTTTGGGCAAATTCACACAAATATAAATAGTTCTCCTCCTGTTCTTTCTTTTTTCCTGCACCCATTTGTTTGGTTACAGCTTGTGGCCTGTTTATTTATCATCTGTATTGGTGAAGATTCTGTCGTGGGCTCTTGCTTCCAGGAAATAATTTTGCTTGTTAACTGTAACTGCCATTTAAGTTCTGATTATCTGCTAGCATTTGAAGAGACCCACTAAAAACCCTGCTGAGGATGTTGCTTATAGTAAATACCAGTACTGTTGGGTTGGGCTTTTTGCAGGCCACCACACCGTTGTTCTGCTCACATGACTTAAATGGGTTTCATTACCTTACTGAAAAAACTGAAGTTCCTTAAACCTAATGAAACTTTTCTCAACAAAGCCTTTTTTAGGAAAAAACAAAACCAATGGAACCCTGGAGTTTTTTGTTCAGGTTGAAGTAGTCCTTCCTTTTTTCTTGTACATTTCCTTTGGCTTCAGTGTGACTGAAGCTGCGCTTGCTTTGTTGCCTGCATGGCTCTGTAAAACAGATTGCTTTCATCAAAAGGTCATACTGGATTCACATCACAAAACAGGTTGGAGATGTTTTAGAAGTTGCACTGCAGTCACATCACATGGATCCGCAGTCGTGTTTGCTTTAGTGCGCACACAACTGTCTTCTGAGTTGTTGCCTTCTCAGGGGAGATCTTTGAAACCTTTCTGGACAGCTTGACCATGGTTCTCCCCCTCTCTCTGGTGCATTGTAGGACTTGTCAGCTCCACATTATGTTCTTGGACTTAGATGCTACTTGACTTGAAAACCACAGGGTTTTCTTGTCTTTCATTTCTTGTCCACTTCTTCCTCTTCTTGTAACCACTGTCTTCCTTCTGCTGCACACGTGAACTAAAAGAACCTCTGAAACTCTTCACTTGAACAAGAACTTTTTGTCTTCAGTGAGAATTTTGCTTTAGGCAGAGGATTTTTTTCTTTCTTAGTGTTATTTTTTTGTTCTAGAGTCTGTTTGAAGCTCTGTAAACTCTTCCCACTTCTTGCCTTTTGGCAAACTAACTCACGAACAGGAGTTCAGTTTTCTGAAATGCGTTATTGACTGTGGTATGTGAAGAGTTGTGTTCCTGGCTGATATAAGTCAGCATAGATTGCTTAGAGGTACAACATGGAATTTCTGTGCTGTGCCTAAATGATTTAGGGCTTTGTGCCAGTTTTAGGAAAAAGCATTTCCTTCAAGGTGTCAGATTTTTAAAGGCAATTGGGCATTTAAGTGTCTGAATAAGCATGGGGCCTGACTGATTTTAATTAAGTGGAATTAAGTGCCCACCCTCTTATGAGAAATCCCACCAGACCCCTGGGTTTTTTTAAGTGTTCTGCTCTTTGTTACGGTACCTACCTGACTTAAGTTCTGAGATTTAATTTTCAGAGACAATTTAAGGTCTTACGACTTAGTTTTCAAAATGAGAATCATCTTTCCATGTTAATTAGATGCTTTTGGAATTGCCATTTAACGTCTTTTTAAACTGGAGGGCTGAAAATGGGAGAAGGAGAACAGTATATAATGATGTCATCTCTGCATACCAGAAATGAAAGGAAACAGCAGCGTTTCTACCCAATTCATAGTTTTGAATAAAACAAATCTCAAAGTTAAATATCCAGTCTGCAGAGAAGACAAAATCTAATCCCATTTCATAGCCATGCTGTTCAAAGCTAGTGTTATATTTCAAGTCTGAGAGGATTTTTTTTTCTTTGGAGAAATATGCTCAACACTTGTTTTCTGGAGCTTTTAATTAAAATTTGTCATGCTGTGATAAATTCCTTTAAAAATGTTACAGGCTCTAATCCACATCAGGGGAAGAGAGAAACAGACAGCTTTCCATTTCAGTGGATTATTGGATTAGGAAAGGACACCGATTCCAGTGAGAACAGTTCTGTGATCTGCAGTGGCAGAAAATACCGTAATGTATATGCAGTGGGTTTTGAGAACCTCCATCTAATAACCTTCACACTATGCAGCCCAGTGTATGTTCCACAGATTAACAGGGAGTTAGACTTGTAGTCATAATGGCTCAGATTTTCTCTCCTTATTTATTTTTATAATTGTAAATGAAAATAATAAGTTTAAGATATCTGTAATTTAAGTGTAATCTTTTTTTTAATAGTGAAAACATTCCTGACCCATTACTGCTACCAGTTTTTTTCTTTTAATTAAAAAACTTCTCTATCTTATATTTACTGTTGCAGATCAAATTATCTAGTGGACCAGGGTGAGTTTTTTCCTAGGACTACATCAGAGAGAAAAAGGAAATAAATCCTGTGATTTCATTGACTGCATGGCAGGAGAGGGGCTTTTCAAAACCACACGAGGTTCACCTACATTAAAGCACCTTTAGGACAGTGTGTGTGGGCGCTGTGGAGAGTACACAGAGGAGTATAGAGGAGCTTAACAAAAGGTGAAAAGCTTCTCTTTATGCTGTGTTTTTCTGATGATTCTGATTTAAGGCTGTCATTGAAATCCCTGGACGTGCAGGACTGTGTATCTTGAACCTGTTTTTTTCATGCATGGTCTGCAGTTTTCCTATTTTTATTTTTTTTTAAACAGAGGTGGAAGTCCTCAGCAGCTCTGAAATTCAGCCCCAATGTGCGTGGTGTTAATTGATGTAGGTTTTCATTGTTGGTATTATAAAGGTTCAATGACATGATAAACCTTGGGACATGTTTGTCTTGAATTCAGGAGAATATGGATGTTGTGTAACGTGGTGTTGTGAGTGTTTTGAGATCCTGGATGTGATGGTTTAGTTTGAAAACCCACCTCTGCAGACTGCAAATACTTTTCTTTTTTTCTCTTTCTTTTAGTCCTCTGCAACTGAATCAGCAAAAACCACAGCTTTTAAACTGGCTCTGAAGAAAGAGTCGGAGCTAAGCTTTGGAAAGGGAGTCTGCATCTCTCTGGGTAAATGACATATGATTCACTAAGTCTGTAAAGCAAGGTGTATAAATTTTCGTGGTTTTTAAAATGTATTAACTGTTGTAAAGTTTGTAAATACCTTTTTTAAATAAATGTAGTTTTTATGAGTGAACTGGTTAAAAAAAAAAACAACAAACCTGCATATAAAGTCTTTCGTACATGGACTACTGAAGTGCGAGTGGAATTACATCCCAACAATAAGTTTATTTTTGATTTTTAACAAAGTTGTGTTACTGTTTTATCCAGAGACTAGTGAGTCCAGACAGTGTCTTTGTCCAGGCATTGTCTGTACGTGCAAAACAAAAGCTGTCACGTCCAAGTTTTCATTTCAGGACACAAAAGCAGACCCTGCGCTGCTGAGTCCCCGCCACTGGACTACAATGTGTTCTCTTTTACATGTAAGCTAGTAATCTACACAACAATTATCTTCTACTATTTAAATGCAACTTCAGAGTATTTATTCACATAGTGCAATCTAAGCCATTTGAAGAGAAATTGATTTTAACAAAGCTTTGAAATTTTATTCTGGGTCTGTTGTTCCGTTCGGCTTTATGGGTTTAAATCTTCTTTCGTCTAGCTTCTCCTTCAATCAGACTTTCCTGTAAACACACATCATATACTTCTTTTAAAAAGAAGAAATAACTTTGATGACAGAATTTTAAAGCCTGGTCAGATGCTAAAATACTCATATTGTGGTCTGCATTGGAAGGAGGATTAGAATGACATAAATCTGACCCGACATGATCTCTCTGCCACCTGCCCATGGATCTGATCAGACAGTATAATGTAACTGACACTTATAATGGCCCTTTTCATCCCCAAGTGCATGACCAACTTTACATCTGTTAATGGGTCCACCACTGCAGCAGTTCTTGGAGGGCACCCAGCAGCTGTTGAACACTACACTGCGACAGCAGTTTAGGACAAGGAGCATGAACTTGCACAAAGCGTCAGTATGTAGAGCGTCTCTGTGAGCTTAAGCAGTTGGTCAAGATACCAGAGAGGAGCAAGCTGTGCTTGCAGAAGTATCCCAGGGTCACTACAGAGCAGCACAGTTGCCCTGTTACCATTAATTCTGTGTGTTCCTTAGTAGTGATCGAATGGAAACCATGTTCCTGTGTCACATCCTGCTGGACCTTGTCTCCTATGTGAATGTTTATTTATGTTGTTACCTCTGAGTTGAAAGCTCGAGGTGTTTTTGGAGAGATGTGCTGTCTGAATACATTATTTTTTTTTTCCCTTTTGTATCTTAGTTAGGTGTATTTTTGTTTGTGCTCACTACCAGCTTCTCCAGGAAATGATGAAGATAATTTGAAAAGTTTTTCCATGGGGTGGCCCATTTCCAGACACCTCCCCTTTCATTGCATAATATTCCTGTAGCAACTCCAGGAATGTGTTACATTGGAAAAGCTGCATCTGGAAAAAGTTGAATTTGTTTTCAATGTCATTAAGCAGATAGAAATAAGAAGGCCACATAGTTCAGACTATGGTACAGAAATAAGACATGAAAACTAGGTATTTGATGCATAGGCTTAGAAATGTTTACACTTATGTGCAAGATTACCAGCAGTTTCTGAGCAAACTTAAGAATCTGGTTGGAGGGGCCCTTCAGCTCTGCAAAGAAAGGCCAGATTTCCCTCAATGAGCAAGAAGGATCAAGGACTTATTTCAAATATCCTGATAATTATCGTGGTTATCTTTTCTTGCCTAACAGTCTCCTGCAGTTAAAAAAGAAAAAAAAAAAAAGGAAATAAAAGTCTAACCATATTAAGTTACTGTTGCTGGCTCTTCATACTGTAAGTAGTTACTGGAAGCCAGAGTCATAGACCAAGATCCCATTTTATGTTCAGCACAAATATGATGAAAGATGAACTAAAAAAACTGGAGTTTAGGTAATTTCTGTATGAAAAACCAATGGAAGTCAGACTCTGACCTGTAGGCGTTACTGGTACTAAGTTTATGAGCCTTTTCTCAGGCCAGGTTCCTGAGTGAAAGGCTGGAGTGTGTACTTGAAACTCTTGGTCTTGGCTTCAAAAATGAAGCAGAGATTGTTTCAGCTTTTAGGACAGCGCAGAGACACTCCCCAGAAAGTGGTGACCATCTGGCCTGATCAAGGTGTTGCTATATTAATTAAAGAGCATGTTTTTGCTGGAGAGTATTCTTCCTGTGGCAGTTAGTGTGTATGTGAAGTCTCTGCTGTCATTGCATTAGAGCATCTAATGGAAAATCCATTTCCCAGCCTGGGGACCTTGGGAGCAGCAGCTTCCATATGGCTTGATCTTTCAGCTGGCAAAGTGCGCCTTTGAAGTTAAGCAGCTGTGAATGCTGCCTAGATTTGTATTAAGGTAGAATGTGTTTGACTTTATTTTGTTTTTAATTTCTTGAGTGATGACATTGCTACAACGGGAGCATCAAGAGTAATGTAGTCCTGCCCTAGGACTGTAACTCTGAGGTACTTGAGAATGATGCAGATGATAACGGCAGAGCCAGTGTTGCCACGTGAACTAACCTTGCATGCTTCTTCTTCCTCCTCCACCACCTTTTTTTATTTTTCCCTTCCCTCCATGTACTTTCCCAGCCTGGACTAGTCCCTAATTTTCCCATAGCGATAAAAGAAAAAAACATGTTGCTTACCATGGCTTCCTTCAGATTGCCAAACCTGGAATGAACATTCGCTCCTCTCTGCTTCCCCAAATTTTTCCATTTCATTTGCAATCTGAATTGGGAAGTGATACAGCCTTCATGAAAGAACATTTTTCTGCTAAAGCAACTCTACCCTAGTTACAGATGAAGCTGTTCCACTGCACAATTTAAATTCCTCTCTTTCCCAGGTCCTATTCTTGTGCTACAGCAAACTTCAAATCAGGATGCTAGAACTGCTGTTAGGAGAGACTACACATGAAGTATTAGAAAGGATGGGAAAACCACTGGTGGACAGAACCTTCCACATCTGCTTTGTCATTTAATTGCTTACCATCCAACCAGTGACCACATGAGAGCTGCCCATTGCCACATTCTCAGTGAAGTGGATGAATGTTGTCATAAAACAGCTCATCGGAGTATTGGCTGAAATATTGGGAGAGGATTAAATCAGGTTTAACCTGGAACTCCAACTTCCATCGCTCCTTTACAGCAGGCTGCCCAGTCTCTCTGTCTGTGCTGTTCTTTATGCAAGGCTGGCAAATGTCACCTTAGCTTAATGCCAATTACTTTCCAATTATTACTTTAAAAAAATGTATGTGTGCATACTCGTATGTATGCTGGGGAAAGAGACACAGATACACACATACACAGTAAAGCCTCTGTCATCTCTTTTTTGCTTGCCTTTTTTACAGATGAAGGATCCTAGGTAAACCAACAGGGTTGTTTTACTCTCTAGACCTACCTCTTGAAATGATTCTACCAGGTTTTCAGCATTCCTTTTTCCTCCTGGTTGCAGGCCGTAAGACCAGTGTTGAGCCAAGCAGGTTTCCACAGACAGGACAAACAGGAGGAAAGCACTGACAAAGATCTTCCTGGACATCTCCATCCTGTGAGAGAACAAAACATCTTTCTGATCATAATTACACTCCAGCTCCATTTTTATCTTACAGAATTATGGAAATGTTACATTTCTGGATCTCCAGTTCCGATCTGCACGCCGGTGGCATTGTGCCTGTGTATGAGCCACAGCTGGATTTGGAGCTTCTCAAAGTGTGGGTTAGCTCATTATAAAGAGATTTGACATTTGAAAAATTTGGATGAAGATGTAAGTTAGGGTTTTTGAACACCCTTTCTGAGTTTTAGGAATATCTGGACCTCAAAGGTTCCATGAAAGTCCCTGTTGATATTTGACAGATGTGTTCAGTTTAGCCAGTTTCTGTTCTAATGTCCCTGCTCCTTACAAAGTGCTCTTTGCAGTCTCTTTAAACGCAAGTTTCTTCTCATACAAGCATCTGTAAACACTGAATAAGTAAACAGGGAAGCTGGTATGTTGTTCAAGCACATTACCTGCGTGCTGAGTGAGGTTGCAGAGTAACTCCAACTCTTCTCTGTTTGGAAATGTCCTGCAAGTATGTTTGTCATCTCACTTTTTATATCCAGCCACCCAACACCAAACCTTTCACAGCAGGGAACTTTATCTGGTCCTATCTCATAGGCTGCAATTTTGTTCTTAAAATTGCCGTAATGCAGCAGAAGTAAAGCACATAATTGGAACACCCCTGGTGTAGCTATTAAATTCAGCTGTTTTCTCTAAAAGCCATAAAAGTAACAGCTTTTCTTTTAAGAGGCTGTAAATCTGACATTCAAATCCAGCTGACTGCTGTTGCCCTGTGGAAAATACACAATCTGTTCTGTCAGTGGCTTCTAATTTTTAAGTAAAAGTTCTTGAGTGAGTTTGAATTTGTTGAGAGGGGCTTACAGGAGTTGAAATGGATGAGGAATTCAGCTTAGTCTCTGTCTCAGTCTATCAGGTATGAAGGAAACAGTCCCTTGGTGCATGAACAAGAGCCTGTGATGGTGCCCAGAGCAATTTGTATGCTCCTTGGAAAGTCTTCCTCCTTAATGTTTAAATTAAAGATATTTTTTGCTCTATAAAATGCAAAGTAATGTTAAATTGATCAAATGGACCAAGTGTATTAGATTGTAAACGTGCTGGGGAAGGAACCCTCTGTTGTTGTGATACAGTCCCTTTCATGAACAGAGCTCTTAGACACATTATTTTTTGTTTTTTTTTATATATATATATATGTGTGTGTGTGTGTAAATGTATGCACTGGGGTACTTTGAGAGTTCTTCATTCTTGAGAGTTGATGCACTGCAGTTTTATAAAGGAGTTGATAGCTGTTTGCATGCAGGAGTTAAATTCAGTAATTTTGACTGCACAAATGTTGGGGTTTTTTTAATCCACCTGGCAGCTATTTTGACTTGTTTTGCACTGCTTTATGTGCAATTGAATGTATCTTGTTTAATGTTCTTCAAACATCCTCTCTTCCTGCTCCCATGACCTCTTTGAGATTCATAGATTAAAAGTAATTTAAGAAGTAAATAAATTAAGGAGGATTTAGTGACTCTAGCACAGAGTAATTCTTCCTGTTCTAATGCTCCTCCTACTCATGGCAAGAGCAGCCAGCATTTAACTTCAGCTGATAAACTGATCAAGCTGTGAAAATAGTTTGTTTCAGTGGGAGAAATGCTACCTTGGCATAGGCACATCCCTTCAGAAAGGAGATTTTTGTAACAGTGTTTTAAGACTCCTTTCTTCCCTGATGAGCCTAGCAAAAAAATAAGGTTATTTAAAAGTAAATAGAAGATTTTGTTCCTTCTGAGGAAGGACATTTAAAGAGAGAAGGGGGCTGCTTAGCCCAGTAATTGCACCTTATTAACCCATCATTTTAAGCTGTTTAATGCCAGCCTACCTTGACATCTTTCAACAACTATGTTTCTTCACAGGTTTCTGTTAGAGCTACAGAGCTGATCCACCAAAGCACGTCAGAAAGGGCACGTAACTGCACCAGTTAGTGAGCTGCTCCGTGTCTTCTCTTAAACTCTAGGCCACAGTCATAAGTTACATAGAGGAGTTTTAATATGTTTTTTAATATTGCAGCAATCCCCACAACACAAGGTACTTGTTTTTCTAGCAGGTAAGCTTTATGCTTGAATGCAAAAGTTCTTTTGCTTTCTGCTATAGCGCAGAAGCGAAGACATCTCAAACTCAGTCTTCTCATAAAGTACTCAAGCCTGGATAGTTCCTAGTTTACAAGCAGTCCTTCTGAGAAAGCACTGGTTACATACAAATCCAGGCCAAGGTGACAGCCAAGGTCTCATAAAGAGCAAATCCAGCTTTAGCTATGCTATTTTTAAGTTGCATTCTCTTCTAACTTCATGTCCTTCCCACAGAAGTTGGGTAATACTAAGTTTGTTTTTAAATTAACACAACCAAGACACTTTTGTATTTCACACTTTTATTAATGCAATTTAAATTAGGCTGGAACCTGCAATTTCTGAATAGGCCACTTTGGGCTATTCATACAGCTTTGTCGTAGCAAAAGAGGTACCTTAAATTCATCTGTGAATGAACGATGCCACATGCTGTGATTATTCAAAACATAGTGCTTCAGTGAAAGTTCAAATATATTTTATACACAGTGATTATGAAAATAGATTTTTTTTTCCATACAATATTTTACTTCTGCCAGCTACAAAATATGATAAAGAAAAATAATTCATTTACTTCTCTAGCCCTAGGAACCTTCTTCTAACTGCAACATATACATCACTCTCAATGAAAGCGATGAGGGGGGAGAAAGGACTCCAAAATCACACTGAAATATTTCCCTTGAATCTACAGGTTTCACCAAGGACACAGTGTTGTCCTAGAGCCTGATCAAGAGGCCTGGGAATCTGAAGGAAGTGAAATCTAAATTCTCAACCACATGGCTGTGGGATTTTGAGTCCCAGAAACTCATGTCATATGCCTGAGTCAACCCAACTTGAAAATAAGGGAGAATCCTGCAATTCCCCCCCAAACAAATCATATACTGGTCCTGAACTAATCCTTCTAGATTGACAGCAAAGCAGCATTTGCTTAACAACTACTGAGACAACAAGACTTCAGTTCAGAGAACTGGAAATCTGCACTGCAAGTAAAAGACAACTCACTGAAGTAACTGTGAACTCCAACCACTGCCACCAGTGTCACATTCTGTAAGTTTTAGGATAACATTGGTTCTTAACTCCCAGTAATAGCTGTTATTTCCTTAGATTCAAGGTTAGTTTTAACTTTGGGGTGTTTTAAGTAAGCATCTGAGGTAAGAGTTCTTGATGCACCTTTTTTTTTTTTTTTTTGGTATAGTTTCTTCATGTGCTTTTTGATTGTATACAAAATAAATGTTTTGTTAGATGAGAACTAGACTGATACTACAGTGGAAAGAGATTATTCAATGAAGTGCACCACCACTTAAAGAGATGCTGTGAGGCTTTCTGCACTGCAGAAGTCACACAGTTCCCTATTTGCTCACAGGTAAAGCAGTTGTGGAAAGGGCACGCTGCCCTGCGAGATGCTTTTACAGCCACTTTAAGCAGGCCCAAAACGAAATACTAAGATCTGGCCAGGAAAAGGATGATGTCCATGCTTTCAAGCATTCAGCGTACAAGAGTATTTGCATAGTACATTGAGGGGAAACAGATACCATTTATTCATATACTGGAGTAATGATGGGAGGAGGGAGCATGTGCTGTGGCCCCAGTGCTTATCTCTACTTTGGTGACAGTATTGAATTTTCCTATGTACACTTAATTCCCCCAAAAGAATGAAAAATCTACAGGTAGTCCAGTTTGGAGTGGTCAGGACATTTGAAAGCAAGAGGATATTTTTTTCTAACCAGCTGTGATTGATAGTGCAATTTCACACTAATTTGGAAAGGATTAAATAAGCCATCCAATTTCTGACCAGGGATGCTTCAGTTGTAACTAAGTCTGCTGTGGATGCAGATCCCTTCTGTGGAAGCAGCAGCTTCCACTGCACGTTTTAGAAGATGGTAAAGCTGTTCTGTACCTGCACTCAAATTATTACATGGCAACAGATTACCTGTGATGACAGTTAACTACAGTTTTCACCCCAGAAAAGAGTACCTGAAAACATCCTGTGGGTATTGTCTAAACCACATCTATCACTTAATACACTGGGCATGAAAGAAGAAACTAACTGTAAATACACTAGTCTAACTGTAAACCTGAACTTTGTTGCTACTATAAATGAATAACATTTTCTATTCAATATTGCAGCTACAGATTTAATAAATAGAATTGCATATATTGTGCTTTATAAATTAAAATGCATTCCAAAGTGAGGCAATGCTAAACAATGAATCTATTTACCACTTCCAACTGCCCACACATTCTGGTTTTGGAACCAGCCCACTTCCTTGCCCTGTTCACAAAGGTAGAAACTGTCTGCTTCTACCTCTTAAACAAAAGCTCCCTCCCTCAGAAGTGATTAAAGAAGAGTTTACTTAGGCACTACTGTAAATGTAAGTTGTCTAATAACCATTACTTCTAACTTAATAAGGGGAAGAGGTAAGAAAGTCACAATAAACATTTTGATTCTTTCCTCTTCGGCATATTCTCTTCCCTATCTGACGCTCTGAGACATGTGCAAAGGTGTCAGCATCTCTTCAAATATAGCTCCTTTTACATTGGATCCCCTCAAATTAGCTTCTTGTAGATCACAACCCGACAGGTCACAATTCTAAAGGACAAAAGAAAAATAAACGTTAATTGAATATACCTAGAACTTAGTTCAAATGTTACCTTAATTACATTTATACAGAAACCACATATACTTCCATCAATTTCAGTGTAAACTTCTAGACTGTTGCTCTAGTTTAGAGTTTTAGTTACCTCTTGTAAGAGAGTAGTTCCTTTTCACAGTAACAGTTGGATTTATTTTTAAGCTGTTAGACTTACGCTCTTTATATCAAATTATCTTCCAGGAGTTACTAATGCTTGCTGAACAAAGCTAGAAAGAAGCTGCCTCTTGCAATCTCA